ACTTTAACTTTATCATCACGTACAGGCTTAAGAACTCTATCTAGGCAATTTGACTTAGAGGTGAAACAAGAACAAGAAACCTCTCCCATCATACCACCTGAATGTATCATTGCCTCTATGGTTCTTTCCTTGTCTTCTCCTCTTCTTTGTGCTATAATGACAGCTCATACTCAGGCACCTAGTGATAAACGTCATAGATAGATTGTTTATTCAGTTACTGGAAAGAGAGGAAGAGTGTTTCACGATAATGTGAGAGCACGCATCCAGGTATTAATTAAACTGTGTCCGCTGTCTCTAGGTCATTTTAGTGGCCTTCTCTTAGAAAAGACATCAGAGAGTATGTGGAGGCATGTACTATTTGTGCGGTTTCTAAGGTTCCTCAAAAACTACAATGTGGGCTATTACAACCTCTTCCTATCCCCAGTATTCCATGCTCTCATTTGTCTATGGACTTTATTGTGGAACTACCAATTTCTAAAGGCTACAACACCATCCTAATGGTTATTGATTGCTTTTCTAAAATGGCACACTTTGTTCCGCTCAAGAAGATACCCTCTTCCCAAGAGCTGGCTCATATATTTATACGCAAAATTAGATTACATGGTATTCCGCTAAATATTGTGTCAGACAGGGGTTCCCAATTTGTGTCATGATTTTGGAGAGCATTTTCTAAACAGTTGGCTATTGAATTATCGTTTTCGTCTTCTTACCTTCCTCATTTTCGTCTTCTTACCATCCTCAAACAAATTCCATAGAGCTTTACAATAGGTGGACTAACAAACATGTAATTGTAACCAGACAAGTTTGACGCACAGGAACAGAGGGGTTGATGGCCCTGCGCAATGATCTTACATGCTAGAGGTAGTGGGGTAAAGTGACACAAAAGGTAAGGGAAGTATAGTGAAGTAGATTAGTATAAAAGTATTAACTGAAGACATTTGGGCTTTTTGCTTTTTTTATGACAGCTGTAGGAAATTAATCAGTTAGGAGCCACTAACAGTTAAATTGATATGCTTTTGTGAAAAGGTAGATAGATAGGAGTAGCATTATGCAGAGATTTGAAAGCAAGAACCAGAATTTTATATTGAACCCTATATCTTATGGGAAGCCAATGCAGGGACTGACAGAGGGGTAAGGCATGGGAGGTGTGGGCAGACAGGAAGATGAGCCTCGCCACCGCATTCATTATAGATTGCAATGTGGCAAGTTGGGAGCACGTAAGACCACTGAGAAGTGGATTGCAGTAATCAAGGCGAGAGAGGACAGTGGCATGAACCAGCACCTTAGCCACATCTGGCGTTAAGTAGGGGCGGATGCACGCAATGTTTTTTAGATAGAAGCGGCAGGATTTGGCGATAGACTGGACATGAGGGTAAAGGAGAGGTCGGAGTCAAAGAGAACACCACTGCATGGTGGAGCAGATGGTAGCACCACTGACAGGAGGGAGACAGAAACAGGTGTGTCAACACTTGATGGAGGGAAGACCAGAAATTCTGTGTTGGACAAGTTGAGTTACTACTTTCTATATTAGCATTAAGCCCGGGCAATGCTAAGGAACGGTAGTATTCCTCAATCCATTTCTATTTAGCACCTTGGCTAGGTATGGCCTAAGTTCTGTGTACTGGTTTTGGTGTTAACATGACAATCTGATGCAATGTTAAAATTCTAAAGATAAAGTAACTTAGTTGATAATACATGTTACCGTATTGTTGCTCGAGTACAAATGAAGTATATCCACGTGTTATGCAAATTCAGTGTTTTGCAGTGTTGCATGCAGTATTGAATACCAAATAATTAGCTATTTCTATTTATTGTTACGGTAAGGTAAGGCAGTAAGACCAGACACCATTCACAGTGAGGAATATTTTTCCGTTTACAGCATAAATAAATTCATCTCTTCCAAGACTATTTTAGAACTTAACAATTAAAGGAACACTGTAGGCAGTGTAACAACTTAAACTCATCTAAGTTGTTAGAGTGCCTTAAATATTTTCACCCTTCCCTTATTTTTCAATCTTTATTCTTTATGAAGGCTTTGAAGTGTGGCTTTAAACCATGCAGCCAAACCAGCCATTTCAGAGAGCCGGGAATGTAACTTCCTTGCTCTCATACCCAATCATACTTTGACGTCAACACACATAACTGACGTTAGGTATCACTGTGCCGCCTAATGCGCGCTCTCACGATATCAGAAATACGTCTATTCATTTGTCAGAAAGATGAATGAATAGAAATTTCACACGAACAAACAAAGACCGAATGTAGGGGTTTGTTTGTTCGTTCTTTCATTTATTACAAGGAGAGAGCTGCCGGCTCGAAGCTTCCTCCTAGTAATACGTAAAAATAGAAGCGGCAGGGAGCTGTGCTTCCCGTCACTTCCTAACCCCCCACATGTCCTCCCTCATTCTATGGGGGCCAATATGACCCCTATATTGGCAAAAGGGAGATTAAAATCTCCTGAATGCCCCTACTCGCTATGCCAGAGATAGGGGCATATCTGCTAAACAGTGAGCACTGTGATGAACCCCCATCTATTAACTAGTCCCCCACCCATCTATTAACTAGTGGGGGCACATAGTGTCCCTAAATGACAACCTATTGTCCCCTGCCATGGGCCCACACCCATGAGCGGTGGGTGGGGGCCCTACATGAAAATAGGGGGGGACTTATTGCCTCCCCCAGCCCCTACCCATGAGCGTTGGGTGGGGGCCCTAATATGATACCCCCCACCGACCCCACCCATGTGGGTACCCAAAATTACAATGGGCGGGAACCTATTGTTCCCCCCAAGCTCCACCCATGAGCTGCGGGAGGGGGCCCTAAGATGATACGGGGGGACCTATTGTCTCCCCAGCCACCACCCATGTGCAGTGAGTGGGTGCCCAAAATTACAATGGGAGGATCCCCCCTATTGGGGGGCCTTAAGATGATACGGGGTACCTATTGTCTCCCTGGCCCCTATCCATATGTGGCTGGTGAGGGGCCAAAATTACAATGGGTGGGGGCTACATGAAAGCCCCTTACCCCCTCAAGGTGACTAGGGATCCCCAGGCCCCTAGTCACCCCCCCTTTAAATAAATTACAACCTACTTAAAATAGTGAGGGGGGAAGTAATAAATCTAAATACCTTTAAAAAAAAAAAAAGAATTATACTAACCATTAGATGTCTTCTTTTTTCTAAAACCTTCTTTTTTCAGCCACAAAAAAGGCCAAATCAAAATCCATAATTTCCGTCAAACTTCTAAAATAAAAAATAACCAGAGTGCCCCCCCAAAAAATGCAGAAAATAAAAATCTCGACACAAAGAAATGCATCCATCTTCACCCAGCGAGGGCACCGCGTAGACTGAGCTCCACAGGGCGGGGTGAGGCTTATAAAGCCTTCCCACACCCTGCAATTTGATTTAGAGTGCTCTGATTGGTTGGTTTAAGTCAACCAATAAGAGCAATCTGATAGGTACATAGTAAACCTTATCTGATTTGG